TGTTTTGAGTCCTTTAAACTTATAAGAACTTGGGTGGGATATACAAAGTAAATCTTAAGGTAATAGTTTAGTCCCCTGTGTGTAAGAAAATTCATTAATAGCGAATTTTGCAATTGAAATGCTGAAGTTGGTCGGTGGTAGGTGCCAACTTTCTTAGACGTCGAGTATTGAGATTTGATATTTCAATCATTATTCGTTAATCAAGCTAATAATGTTGTCAATGGGTGGCTACGTTTCACGTCTTTGTTATTGCTCTTAAAATATAAACTGCTTGTGCATGTGTAGATTGTTTATCTCTAATAAAAAAAAAAAAATCATTATTCATAAATCATATACCTACTACCAATATATTATATTATAATCAATTTACATAAGCTACTCTCATAAAACCTACGTGCTTTTTTTCGAGCTCTTTTGAAGTATTTTCTTTATTTTACACCGCTTGGGTAGTATTATTACATTATAATACATGAATGTTGTTCTGTAGGAATAGGTATACCCTAAAATATACATTGAAAAAGAGCAGTTTTACTTTCTGAGGTCTTAATATCATATTTGTATCTGCAATAAGATATGTATAGTGAAGGTATCCCTACCTATATTTAGTGTATTTATGACAATTATATTATAAAATAATGATTGTTCGATACGTTTTTATTTTCTGTATTACCTATGTATATTTGACTGCAGGTATTAACTAAATGTTATTGGAAATACTGAATTTAATTGGTTGTAATAAAAAAATATTTTTTCCTCTTATAGGTAATATTATGTAGGTACTCTATTATAATACTTCAAAGGATATATTCAAAGGATCAACAGTTGTGTTGTATATATATTTTATTATATTTTTCTTTCAGTGGCATATTCAAATACCTATATAGTATACCTATGCAATAATTTTTATTCTTTCACTTTCGAGGAAATTTTGTTGTGTATAAGTATTATGTATTAATTAATTTGATATTTTTGACATAATATATATAACACACTTGAATATTTCTCGGACCCTAACTTTGCATAACAAACACTTTATAGATATAGAAATAATATTAAGCAGTCTACAGCCATGAGGTTGCCATTGAACACGGATTACTACAATATATAATACTTAAGAATACTGTTTATCAATACTCGTTTAACGTTTGTACTTGTAAAAGCACAAAAGTTGTACAGAATTTTGCGAATTGAAAAAAACAAAGTGTTCAGTAGGTAATGCAATACATTCAAAGTTTAAAATGTTTAAATATATAATATGAAATATAATCTAATAATATAAAACATGAAGTAGTTACTCGTTTAGGTAAGTAATACAATTCAATTCGATTAAATGTAAATGGGTACCCACATAACGTTGATATCGCATGCGATATATGAGGTAGGGACCAGAAAGTATTACATTTTCTTCTTAAAAGAATACAGCGATATCGAGTACCTAATAGAATAATTATTGGTTATAGTAGTGTAGCAGATTTATTTATTAAACTAAAATTGTATAAAATATATTATATTAATTAGTTATTATAACTAAAATATTATATTAACGATATACATATTCATATTTTTAATATTTTATTAAAAATAAATGTCCGTCCCAGAAATACATCAACCATGTGTCAGTTATGTTGACCAATAAGTATAGTAAGTATTGAGCTTTCGACTGTAGACGTAAAGAAGAAAATGAATTACCTAATTGGCCACTCTCGATGCATGTCATTAAGAACAGCTTTTCAAAATAAAGATAGGCCTATCTAGGTATAGGTTATAGGTTTATGTTTTATTAATTAATTTGTTCACTTTTAAGCTTCAAAAAAGCTTTTAGTTATATTTTCTTGTACGATGATATTGATAAGACTGAAAAACGTAGGTACCTATCTACACAGTACACAATTGTTCGATTAAGACTGTAATTCGAATACCAAATAATGAACAAATACTTTTTTTCTCATTTAATATTATATTTATAAGTAAATTCTTGTGGTTTAGTGTTAAATTGTGTTATTCGTTATTAGTCTATTGCTAATCGTTTGGAAAAGAAAATCGTGAGACATGTCTTATAAGATCATGTTGAAATTACAACTAATTGTAAGATCTCTCAGTATCATGTTATTATTGAAGTGTACCACTTTGATATAATGTTTTATGAGACCTGTCAGAGTCATTATTATTAACGAGTTTGAAGAAAAAAAAAACCTTTTAGAATGTTCAAGGTGGTCTCTGGTCTAATGGAATCATCTCAAAAACGTATCTATATAATATAAAATCTAAAGGTACTTCTCAAATGAGCCTCTCACTTAGTAAAACTCACACGATATCGTATAGATATACGGTTGGCTAATTTTTTCAATATTATTCAATTTTTAATCCATGGTCATAATAAATATAACATCGTTGATGTTAAAACATTGGTATTGGACGTGCACGTTCTAGTTATGTAGCTATATCACAAACATGTTTAAACTGAAAATAGTCTTTGGTGGCCTTCGGGATTTGACGATTTAATGAAGAACCACTAATTTCTACGTCCACCGTGTCACGATCGGGAGGGTCGTTCTTTAGCTCTATATACCTACCTCCCACGCAACAGCAGAATATGTTGCCGGATAATATGGGACATGGGTACCTATACCTATATATTTCATCGAATACAATGCAATGTAGTATACACGAGGTAATAATAATTAATAATAACGGCCAACTAGTGTTATCTAGCGATCACTATATTGTAATTCAATTGGGCAGAATACCTACTGACAAATAGTATAATAATAATAATCACATCCACGTATATAATGTCCATATATGCATGTATATGTATAATGTATATACTTTAACTATATAGTGCGTGTACCATTAAATTTTACTTTTAATAATAAACAGTATAACTACACAATTTTTTTTTAAATTTCATCGGAGATGAGGTAAGATTAATTGTGTAATCAACTAAAACATATTCGACCAGTGTCGTCAACATACATTTTGTATGAGGGAGGGGAGATCAGAAAAAAAATTTAATCCTAGGTACATTAAAAGAATAAATAACAAAATATATTTATAATCTATAATTAGGTAGGTACAATGGCGTGTATATACTATATATATAAATATAAAAACTTGAGTTTAAATAATTATAAAGTACAAACTTATAGTATTATTAGGTATACTATATTCATAATAAATTAGAATATTCGATTATTACATTTAAAATATAAAGATTCAACAATTTTTTTGTAATAACTATTACATCACAATATATTATATTGGTCTGCTGACATTTATTTTGGCCTACTTACTTATTAATTTGTTAGCATAACTTTCAAAAAGTTGAAATGACGCCCCCGAATTAAACAATTATATTATTATGTACACGATTTATTTAATTTTATTTTACGTTTCCTTGTAACGCTCTAACACTAAGAACACTGTTTTATTAAAATTAAAAAAAAAATCCTATTGGGGGGAGGGGGGTCTAACCCCCTTGAGTCCGCCCCTGCATTCGACCAACATTTAATAATCAGCTTATTTTGTGATTCTTTGTCTGTGAATCTGTGCGTCATGTGTTCGAAAGTCGTGTCATAAAGTCGAGAGTCATAGAGTCTCATACAAACATCTCTGGTATCCGGACAATTTCCCCCCGGATATTTTTCCCCCGACTGTTTTTGGCGTAGTAGGACATTTTCCCCCTGAAAAATGTTCCGATGCGGACATTTCCCCCCTTTCTTTTTAATTATTTTTTTTTCATAAATATAATCAATTATATCTACTACAATTAACTTTATAAATGTATACTATAAATTTCATTTTTTTTTTTTCATAAATATAATAAGACATAAAAAAATTGTTATTTTATTGTTTCAAGTAGTTGAATTGATCAAAAATATACATCTACTATAATAGGTAATTATAGAATAATTAATTATATTTATAAAAAAAATTATATTTTACTGAAAAAAAATAATTTCTTATTAAATAATAAATAATAAACTTAAAAAAAAAATGGGGGGAAAATGTCCTACTACGCCAAAAACAGTCGGGGGGAAAATGTCCGGGGAGAAATTGTCCGCCATTCAACATCTATAGGTCCACCGCGTCATGATGGGGAGGGTCGTTCTTTTGCTTTTTGTTCTTTACACCCAACTGATGTTGACGCATAATAATATTCGTCGAATATAATGCAATCCAAATGCAGTACACCTACAAGAGATAACAATTAATAATAACGAGAAACTAGTATTATTAATATGTTTTTGTTGGTCAGCGGTCGTTATGATCATAATTAATAATAAAATAACTAGGCCGTTAAAAAAAATTGAAACTTATATTTTACATTATAACATCAGTCAATAGATTAAAGACCAGTGTAGAATATTATATTTTATATTGTTTGAGAAGTCGACATTGTCGAGCGAGTGATGTTTAATGGTACAAAATACGTACGTAGATATTATAATGTAATATTACGAATTGGTATATATTATATTATAATATAAATTATAGAACATTATGTGTTTGTACGCGAATGTTTACAAATTATATACATGTTTTTGTTTAGCGTTATTATTTATATTATGATAACGTTTTCTTATTGAGTTGTTAGAATAAGGTAAGACACAATATAATAGGTACCTATCTAATGAGTCAAAACAAATTCACATTAGATAGATGCATAAACAACGCATACCTAAGATTATTTTTATTTAACAGTTATATATATATATATAATATATCCATTTCTATATAATATATGAAGTGTACCACCACTCTATTATAATACTAAAATATTATACTTTTAATAAATAACTATTTTTTCTTCAAAAGATTTTATTTGTACGGAATTAAATACCAGATGAGGTTGTAGGTACATATTTTTTGTTTAACTTAATTTAACTTATTAATACGTCATCATGTTGTAGTTTTGTAGTTAAGATACTATCAGTAAGTAGGAAGAACAAACAATTAAATAATACAAGACTTTCATAAGAAAAAATATTTTCTTCTTATCACATCCTCGATGTTCTACTGGTTGATGTTAGTGCCAAACTAATAAACATACTACTTCCCGAATTCACGTGCCCATGTCTTTGTATGACCCTTTTTTTGAAAACTATGGTTTCTTGCTGAAATGTTTCTATTCTACTGTGTCTTATTATCCGATTGTCAATGTTGGTATCAACCGCGTCCGGTTGTCGGTGATTCATCCACTTGCTACTTTTATGGTCCAGCACGTTTGATTTCCGGTGTTTTGTCAGATGTCCACTTTGGATATCACCTGCGTCCACTGGCCGGGGATTAATCAGACTAACACTTTGGATTTCACCTGCGTCCGGTGGTCGGTGATTCATCAACTTGCTACTTTTATTGTCCAGCACGTTTGATTTCCGGTGTCTTGTCAGATGTCCACTTTGGGTATCACCTGGCCGGGGATTAAACAGACTGCTACTTTGGGTATCATCCGAGTCCGTTGGCCTTTGTTTTACCAGTTTGCAACTTTTATTGTCCAGCACGTTTGATTTCCGGTGTCTTGTCAGATGCCCACTTTGGGTATCACCTGCATCCACTGGCCGGGGATTAATCAGACTGCTACTTTGGGTATCATCCGAGTCCGTTGGCCATTGATTTACTCGTTTGCAACTTTTATTGTCCAGCACGTTTGATTTCCAGTGTCTTGTCAGATGTCCACTTTGGATATCACCTGCATCCACTGGCCGGGGATTAATCAGACTGCAACTTTGGGTATCATCCGAGTCCGTTGGTCGGTGATTCATCAACTTGCTACTTTTATTGTCCAGCACGTTTGATTTCCGGTGTCTTGTCAGATGTCCACCTTGATTATCACCTGCATCCACTGGCCGGGGATTAATCAGACTGCTACTTTGGGTATCATCCGAGTCCGTTGGCCTTTGTTTTACCAGTTTGCAACTTTTATTGTCCAGCACGTTTGATTTCCGGTGTCTTGTCAGATGCCCACTTTGGGTATCACCTGCATCCACTGGCCGGGGATTAATCAGACTGCAACTTTGGGTATCATCCGAGTCCGTTGGCCTTTGTTTTACCAGTTTGCAACTTTTATTGTCCAGCACGTTTGATTTCCGGTGTCTTGTCAGATGCCCACTTTGGGTATCACCTGCATCCACTGGCCGGGGATTAATCAGACTGCAACTTTGGGTATCATCCGAGTCCGTTGGTCTTTGATTTACCAGTTTGCAACTTTGGTTGTCATCCACTTGTGTTTTCGGACATCTTGTCAGACTTCCACTTTGGGTATCACCTGCGTCCGGTGGTCGGTGATTCATTAACTTGCCACTTGTATAGTCATCCACGTGAGTTCTTCGGTGTTTGGTCAGACTTTGACTATACGCGAAGGACCGGTTGCAAAAGTCACACGAGTACGAGCCCTCTGTCGTGTGTGACAATCGGTGATTTTTCATAGTTTTTAGATACTTAAATGACTCTTTGCATAAATCACATGAGAACCGTTTCTCACTCGAGTGCGTCTGTAGGTGAGATTTCAAATATCTACTTTGTTTGAAAGACTTTGTACATACTACACATGGGTAAGGTCTTTTACCATCATCCGTGTGAGACTGTTGGTGTTTTCTCAGATATGTAATTTTATCAAAAGACATTTTGCATTTTTCGCATGAGTAAGTACGTATCTTACTCCTGTGTGCCCGCAGATGACTTGATAGACCTGCGTTATTGACAAAGCCTCTGTCGCATATGTTGCAAAGTTTCCGGACTTCATTCATTTTATTTCGGTTTATTTCAGTCAAAATTAATAGGTAAGTACCTACATAATTGTATGTTGAAATATGAAATTATGTTTTGTTATTTTATGAACTAACAAATTAGCATTTGTTTTACGAAGAATAATTTAGTAGGTAGGTAACTAATAAATTGGAAATTATTTAAAGTTGTAAGCCAGTATGTTTTTTTTTTGTGTTCCCAGTTAAAATAATCAAACAGTATATTCATTGCTTTAAGTTAAATCTAATGTTGGATGCAAAATGTTTCGATCTTCAGAACTTTAAGGGTGGTTTTCGTTTAAAAAATTAATATTGATGATACTTTGATAGTCGAATATAAAAAAGTTTCCAGTATTTTATTTCTTATTAATCGTGATATATGGGAATAATTACGCAAAACCAGGTTTTGACAAAGTCGATTTTGTTTTCTTAAACATTCGATATAATTTAAAGGAGAATATTCTTCGTTAGGCACTTAAAATGTTGAACTCATATTTATAATAGCATTTTATATATTATATGACATAATAAAAAAAACACAAATATTTTGGCTCTTTTTGTGCAATTTTGTAAAACTATTACGATTTCATTGCATTTAAGGAAACTGCAATAATTATTTACAAGCAATTAAGAAAATATCAATAGTTATTTATTTGAAATTAAAATGGTTCTACGTATATAATCTTTTCAGAGTGAATAAATTGAGATAAGTAGGTAGATATTTGTTGAAGTGGATGATTTGATATAAAACCTTTTCATCAATATTAATAAGCAATAATTAACTGAATTTATGCCGAAAATCCGAATATGTTAAATGAGGGATTCATATTATAAATTAGGTATCTATTTATTGTGTAGTTTAAGCACAGGTTAAAGAACCTAATTATACAGAATTATAACGATAAGTACATTACTATCATATATCTATATATATAAAAATGGAGCGTGAAAAATGTACGATACATCATCAATCGAGGACAGCTGGTCCGATTTGGCTAAAATATTTTTTTAAATGTTCGTAATTTCCAGTAGGAGGTTTTTACAAAAGAAAATTTTAGGAAAATCCACCGAAAAAAAGAAAATCTGGATACAAAAAATATAACAGTGGCGCAACAGTGTATTATATATTGGTTGCTATTGGTTAATCGGGCATGTTTGTTGATTTGTATTATTATTTTTGTCAATATATAAATATACTAGTCGACCCGTCACAGCTTCGCCCATGATTGGTTGTTTATTTTGCCTTCGGACAATGATATGTATAATTTTTTATTAAAATTTTATCGTTTAATGAAAACGTATTCAAATGTTTCTAGCGGTATTAATGGTAAATATATTTTTATATCAGAACCCGTTCACTTCATTACCCTTAAAAAATCGCAAATCTTAAAAATTTATGATTGTTCAACTACTTTTGGGTGTAACTTGCTGCAGCCTGCAGTAAATGCAACTCAGCCACCCTGGTAGGCAATCCGACTACTTGGGCAACTTTTTCACCAATCACCTTGGTAAGCAATGTTCAATAATTCGATTGATGCAAGCTTGTACTTGATCATCCTGATCTTCGAAACTATTAATAATTAAAAATAAAATTTTCAATGTAAACCTCAATGTCCCTGTTTGAGAGCCTCTTTAAAATGCGAATTTCGCCAAATCCTTTCTTATTGCACGGTGAAAGTATTAGAAGAACCACTATACTAAATTTCAAGTTCGTACATTCAGTAGTTTTTGAGATACGGCGATCAGTGAGTCAGTGGTATTTGGATTTTAGGTATATAATATATATATAGATTCTCTTCTCCTTCCCCTCCCATAAAAAAAAATAAAAATTGGGCTACACGGCGACACTCAGGAAGGTATTTGGAACAACTCTGTGAATAAAAATTGGTTAAATATTAAATAGTGTAGTCACAAAATTAAAAAATAATAACTCAAATCAACAAACATGCCCGATATAAATAAACAAATAAATATATACATATATAATATAAATATATATAAATAATATAGCAACCAATATAGTATAATACAATATTATTATTTTAATCTGCAACAATAAACTTTATTTTTCATTTTTTATTAATTAGTTTATTTTTTTTCTGGACAGATTGCGCCACTGTTGTATTTTTGACATCCATATTTCCTACTTTTCTGGTGGATTTTTCTAAACAAAAGTGGTACTATGACCTCCAGCAGACTGTCAAGTATAACAGTGAAAAATTTCAGCCAAATCGGTTCTGTAGTTTTCTCGGTTAGCGCGGTCCAAGAAAACCCTTACCTTTTATATAATAGTATAGATAAGAATGTTTGTGTGTAGATTAGACCTCCGGGAAGAATACAGGCTAATTTTAAAATGGTTAATTTGGTTTTTTTTTATTCATCTGATATTAGTACGGTTAGGTTAGGTTAGGATTTTGTATTAATTGATTATATTAATCCACCATAGTTGGAATATAAGACAAACTTGGTATAACTTCGATACTTTAGAGTTAAATCATACACTCAGTGTCTACAACAGCCATGATACGCATATTTGTGGATTACTTACCTATTTGGGATTTAGGCGTGATTAATTGTTATCAAATGACCAAAATGTTATGAATGATAATTTAGAATTCTGCACAATAAACATTTATTATTATTGTTATAGTCGTAGTCAGCACGTTACATCTTTGATCGGTGAGTGCTGGATTTAACGGTGGAGTTTGTTTTAGGGTCCTCAGATCGGTGTCCAAAATGCTCTAACTTTGTGAAGTGATAAATTATTAAGAACGTTGAATAACGGTCAAGAAAAAAACGTTTTCCCAGTCAAGGTACGAATGTACACTTACTTATTTTTAATCGTTGGTGCGTTTATGTTCTTATAATGTACACATTTAAAGGTCTGTAGTGAATCAACTATTAAAGATGAACGTCTGAAATTCTTCACTGCACCAACTTATATGTGATTAAAACAAGACCCTAAACAACAAAATTTGATCACCAGTTTCGAAGATCTGCGTTTCTAAAGAAAAAACTAGCTAAATTTAACTTTTTTTACGATTAAAAAGTTAATAAATTTAAATAATTATTTATAATTTATATATATTTATATTTTGTATCTGATTGACAAGACCTTTTTAACGAGCTATCAACTTACATTCTAGTTCTTATAGTTTAGTACCTAGTGAAGTTAAAAAATAGTTTTCAGTGTTGAACATATTGTGGACAATTTTCTGAATACAAATCATTACGCTTGAGCATGATATCTGAGCTATCTCATTAATATATTGTATTAAAGCTAACCTAATTATCCACCTAATCGTTATTACTGAGGTACATTTGCATTATAATATTCCTATTTAACATAAACTCTTGAAGTTTTATAAATTCAAATTTTTTCCATTTCAATTACCATACTTAATACTGATTAAAAATCAAAAAAGTAAAATTATTTTAAGAAATAGGTATTACCCATGACGGTTTATTTCAAACGGTTGTGGACTCAGTTTTATCACATGAGCCAAGAGGTATCTAGTTGAAATGTTTTAATTTATAAATGTATAAAAAAAAACAATATAAATGTTCTAGAAATAGACAATAATGTCGAAAATACAGTGACTGAATCTCTCAGTTTTGGGTTACATTTTATATAGTCACTTATTACAATATTGAGATAAATATAATTTTGAATGAATGCAGTAATATTGGAACATTTTATGTTTTTCACACTATTTAATTGATGAAAAATGCAATTTCATTAGCTAACAAACTAATCGTTAACAACAGTCGAACAAATAGAACTGTAATATTGGTATACAGATTACAAATTGTTAAATCTAATTATATTAGTAGGTATACGCATCAGTAACAGAAATTCGTCGAATTAATATACACATAACAATAAAGGAGAAATCCATTTAATTTATGTGTTTGAAGATTATAAATACGGTTTACAATTTATACACAAAGTAGAAAAATTATTTTTATTCATCATCAGGGTACCTATCATAATTCTTGTAACTTATTGGCATATATTCTGTTATTTTCGAACAAGATATTAGTCTGTTGAGTACTTACGACTTACCATAAATTGATGTTGACCATCGTAGAAGTCGTAAGACTGGCGTCGTGTGTCTCATTCTCTTGCTAGTTGATCATTAAACACGTCATAATATATAAAAACAATAAACCGTCTCCTAGAAATAACATTACTTATAATATTATGCTAAAAATAATCAAAAAGTCAAACCAAATATTATACAGCTTAAAAGAAGAGGTTTAACTTGACAACTATGTATAAAAGCTAAAGTTTCGTTTTTATACCCGAGTGAATTATTAGCTTAATATTGGCCACCCCAAAATCTTTAGTATCTTTTCAAAGGTTTCGTATAGGCTCATAATTAAAAACGTGCTAGGTGTTCAAATTTTCCTGACGTCACATTAATTGTGTTACAAAGCTCCTGGACCCTGAGCTCACATAATTTATTTTGTACCTAGCAGTTCAGTGCGGATATTTAGAAAAAATATTAAGACAAAACAAAGTATTATATAAAATAGGGTTTGTGATTACTAATTTCTACCTATGCATTAAAATGAGTCAATATAATTTTACGATTTTGGGTAATATTGAAAATTTGAAACTACAAGCTCAACATTAAACCAACTTACAAATTGTTTTTTCATCAATAACTAACTATTTGCAATTGTTATTTTCAAATTCAAAAAAACTAAAGGGTTTTTATGTATTTATTTATTTTTATTGTAAAAGGTATTATGAAGGCATTGTAGTCATGTTAGATGAAAATATATTACATATTTACATTACAAAAAAAATTACACCAAAATATTTACACTACATCATGAACTATTCTTATCGACCTCACTAATAATTATATCAATAATATAATAATGATATACTCGCCTAAATATATAATCTAATATATAATAATAGTATATGTAATTAGTTTGTGGCTCATACTGCAAAAGGTATGTTTGCATTTTGAAAAATGTTCAGGTGTATA